CTCAGCATTTGACATGAATCACGTGGAATATCTTTCTCTCTCACTCACTTCTTCCTCCCCCTACCGTATCTTTTTATTATTATTTTATTTTATTTTGTTTCTTGGTTTTCTTCTTTTCAACCACTGCCATGTAATAACATTTTAGTTTTTTATTTATATTTCTTCTTCTTTAATTAAAAAACTCAAATTACATGTCCTCAGCATTCATGGATTTAATAATAACGAAACAATATTTTTCTTTTAAGTTTTAGAATTACTTGGAAACAGTAAGAATTTTTTATTTCCAAAATTTCTATATAATTTTGAGGATGTTACTAAAAATAAAAACAAAAAATATAAATAGTCGTCGAATGTATAAAATTGGAAACGAAAAATAAGTAATAGGAATGTCACACATCGACCCTAAATAATTCCATCACAAAAAATGTCATAATTTGTTAATAGATGACTTGGGTCAATTCTAAGAATAATGTAATTTTAAAAATAATTAAAACAATAACGCATATTTAAAATAATAACAAAATAAATGTAATTTTTAAATAAAAATTACAAAATTTCAAATTTTGACAAAAATAGGTTAGATTTTGGTCCAATAAAAAATAGTGTAAAGGTGCCAACACATCGTATATTAGCTGGATTTGATGATGAGTCACGAGGGGAAGTGGTACGTGATTTCTAATGGGACACATTTGATTTACGTTAAATATAATATAGCATAAAATTTAGTAAACAAAAGAATTCATATAAAATAAATAATTATTATTTTTATGTATAATTAAGTTTGTTTTTTTTTTAACAAAAGTCGTCCAACATAAGAACTTAACAATCAAGCGGCTAGATCAAAGAGACAAATGTTAGGTAGACAAATTCTGACTACTGGCCAGTGAATTATAAAATAGTTTCAAGTAGTTTGTTATTTATTTTCTATTTTTAGTTTTTGAAAGATAGACTTTTTTTTTCTGTTTTTTAAAACGTTTCTAAAATTCTTGATAAATTTCAAGAAATTTAAAAATAAAAATAAATTTTTTTTTTCAAAATCACATTCTCTCTCATGTTCAAGTTTTTTTCACAGATTTTTCGGAGAATTTTCTTTCTCTAAAAAGTTTATATTTCTATCTCAAAAATTTTCCTATCTAAAATATTTATTCATGTTGAATGTCCTTACAATTATTGCAAGAATTATAAATAATAGAATAATTGAAGTAAATATTGACAAACAAACTTGTAAGCAATTAGGTTGAGTCGCAGGTATCTCGCTCGATCTTTTAAGGAGATTCAAGCCCTCCGCTATGTGTGTATTTCTTTATAAATCACTGGTGCAGTAGGTATTATCTGATTTTTCTCCTCCAGATACTACAACCCAACTGAAATGTTGTGTTGCTCAAATCAGTCTGTAACTAGAGGTTGGCACCTCTCTTTTGGCCAATTAATTGCTCTTAAAAAGGGCAAAATAGGGATAATTGAAAATGTACATAAGAGAGAAGATAGGTTCAATGAGTTGTGTGTAATGAGAGGGTGCGATAAGAGAGGTATTTATATGAACTTTTAGATCTAGTAACTTACTGGAAAAATTAATAAGTTTTTTTAACTTTTCTTTTTAAAATATGATGTCTTCACAGTTGGATAAAATCTCTTAAACCTTAAACTCTTAAATTAAGTCCTAAAAAAAACCCATACATCTATAAATACTGAAATGTAACAACATTTACTATTTTTCTCTTTTTCCAAAATATATATATATATATATATATATATATATATATTCTAATATATAACTCTCATTTTTCTTTTCAAAATTTTCCTTATATATTTTTCTCTTTCTAATATATTTTTTCACACCAACATCATCATCTATGCTCTACCTGGATTGGAAGGTAATTCGAACCCATGATCTTTTAGTCGGAGATATGTGCCTTAACCACTTGATTTATGCTCTGTTTGGCTCAAAATCGTTATTAAACTAACCTGTAGTTAACATAAAATATCAGAATGAGAGGACACATCCTTTATTTCAGGTGACGAGGCAAATTTTGTATTAAAAAAAATTCAAGAAAATTATGAAGTCGCCTTAAGAGAGTAAAAGAAAAAAAAAATCATTATATTATGGAGTTGACTTTGTGTGTTCTGAAATTTACTAAAATGCATCATTAAAACGATTTTCTAGAGAATTTCAGAGACTTTGTAAAATCTATAAGTAAATTAAATTAAATAAAAAGAAAAGATAGAGTAGAACAAGCTTGGAATTTTCAAATATTCCTTCAAATGAGTATGGTTTATTAAGAGCCCAATGGTACTCACTGTACTTACTGGGCTCAGAAAAGGCCCAAATTTTTCCGCGTTTGATGCCCACTCGCGGCCGTGCCGGCGGCGGCGTATTTGACATCTATTGACCTATTGTTTGCTTTCAAATCTCGATATTAAAATAATGGTAAAAATATCATGGATGGGTAAATTCAATATTAATTTTCAATTTCTTCTTTGAAAAGAATAAAAAAATTTCTCTTTTTTACTATAAAATATTTGCTTCACTATTTTTCCTACGTGAACGAAATGAAAATAAAACAACTCAATTATTTAAAAGAAGCTAAATGAGGGTTGGGTTATGTACTCATTAGGAGCATTCCTAACTTTTAGAATATCAATGATTAAAAGAAAATGTTGCATTAAGAATACAAATAAATGATTAAATTTATCGTAACTCATCCACTTAAACTTTTAAATTTGATGTAAATTAATTTAATATAGTATCAGAACAGAAATCCTATTTTGTTACAAAGCATGATGAGACAAAAAAAAAAGATAAAAATATGAGGTCTCAAAAAATTATTTTTCAAGATGTTATTTACAACCTCATTAATGGTTTTAGGCACATCCTAATAAGAGCATCCATGGTTTGCAAATATGGAGAATGACCAATTTAATACAAGAGGGAAAGTGTCCAAATAAGTGATGACATTACTTAAATTTCCTATGAAATTAAACTTGGTAGGAAGGCTATGCTATTCACTTAGCCTTCACATGCTCTTTGCCTTAAATTCAATGCCTTCATCAATAC